TTCCACTATTATCAACTAGGGTCTCAAAATCAGAGGTAACTCTATCTGCCTCAAATATCACTATTGCTACCATTGAGGGCCAAGAAATGCCTGTGAACAGAGTATTGTACATTGCGCTGTACACTTTTCTAACCCAAGCGCCCATTTTTTATTTTCCCTATGCATGGTCATGAATTTGGAGGAATCCTAGGATCCAATGTCTTAAAAAACCTTCATGCCAAACTATTGAATAGAGAAAAATGCGTACAATTAAATGAGATGCAAGTGTCATTTTTGACTGAGACAACACAAAGAAGAGATGTAAAATGTTCTTGTTTACACCATTTAGAAGAATCCAAGTCTCTCTGACTATATCCCACAGAATGAACTAAAATCCCCAGAAAATCCCAAAAGCTTCTTTTTGCCAAACTTTCTGAAAGAGCCACAGAAAAAGTTGGAAGTTGTACTTCATTTTTCATCAATGGCCTCTGTGGAAGACTCATAGCTGCTTGTAGCATTTCAAGAAAACATAAGGAAACTTATCCAGTGATGTGCCTAAATGTAGGTGATGAGGACATTGAGGGTTCTCCTCACCTTACATTAGCCCAAGCTACAGTTGCTTTGGAGGGACATAGAAGACCTAATAGACCCATCAAAAAGCCTCCAAAAGTTTTTGCAACAAAATAAAATTGCGAAGGAATTCTTAAGGATAAAGATAAGCTGGAAAGACTCCACAGGAAGCTTGAAGACAAAAATCTGCTTCAATTTATTGACAAGAACATCAAAGTTTTGGAGTGTCCAGAGAAATTGATACTGCCACTGAGAAACCTTTTAAGAAAATTCAAGAAGGTGCTGGCTAAGAGATCTGATCATCTAGGGTTGTGTCTGCTATATGAAGCAGATGTACCCCTGGACACAGAAAAGTCTATTTTCACTAGACAATATCCCCTCCAGCATGGAATGTGGCCCAAAGTTAATGAATTTGTTGAAGATCTACTTGAGCACAAAATATTGCCACCCTCAAAATCTCCATACAACAGCCCCACTCTTATGGTTAAGAAAAAAGACGGTGATTGTCAAATGGTGGTTGATTTTTGGCATTCAAATGACCATGTAATTACTGACACGCACCCTCTTCCTTGTATTGACCAAATCTTTGAAGAGCTGGGAAATGCAAGGTTTTTTACAGCTCTTGATCTTNATCTTCCTGGATAAGACTGGGCGTCAGAGTGTCAAGTGCTCAAGATTTCACACTTATTATCTATGTTTATGGATGGACTTGTGCCCAAGATTGCCAGTGCCATATAAATCACTTTTGACAATTTTGAGACCTCCCTTTGATTTGTGATCTCAGTGGAAGATAGGGAAAGAGGTTTAGAAGCTAGTCAATCTTCCTCCCTTCATCAAATCTCCCATTTGTGCCCTAGATCTCCCCCTGCTATGTTTAGTGGAACCAGCACACCTGGCATTTGTTCTGCAACAATTTGCTATAATTGAGGTCAAAAGGGCCACTTTTGCAGTGAGTGTTGCATACAAAGTAAGGCTCTGGCAAAGCCTGCGACAAAAAAATGTGTGTACCTGGCCTCTGAAAAGGACAGTAGTGCACCAAAATTTGCAAGCAGCCATAGAGGATGTTCCTCCTACCTTGGAAATGCATGAGGTCGTGGTTGTGGGTGTGGAAATGGGCAAAGATCAGTGAATTTTGTTGAAGAAAATGAGGACTATGGTGACAATGTCAATGAGTGCAAAGAAGAAGATGAAGAGATCTTAACAGAAGGTTATATAGACAAGCCTACGTCATACTCAAGAAACAAGTTTTGATCCACACTTTTGCCTTGACAACAGCAAAGCTGCTGGTTATTCTGCTCTCCACCAATGTCACCAGGTTCTCAGCAAAGTTTCTTCCAGACTCAGGTTCAGAAATTCCACTATTATCAACTAGTGTCTCAAAATCAGAGGTAACTCTATCTGCCTCAAATATCACTATTGATACCATTGAGGGCCAAGAAATGCCTGTGAACAGAGTATTGTACATTGCGCTGTACACTTTTCTAACCCAACCACCCATTTTTTATTTTCCCTATGCATGGTCATGAATTTGAAGGAATCCTAGGATCCAATGTCTTAAAAAACCTTCATGCCAAACTATTGAATTGAGAAAAATGCGTACAATTAAATGAGATGCAAGTGTCATTTTTGACTGAGACAACACAAAAAAGAGATGTAAAATGTTCTTGTTTACACCATTTAGAAGAATCCAAGTCTCTCTGACTGTAACCCACAGAATGAACTAAAATCCCCAGAAAATCCCAAAAGCTTCTTTTTGCCAAACTTTCTGAAAGAGCCACAGAAAAAGTTGGAAGTTGTACTTCATTTTTCATCAATGGCCTTTGTGGAACACTCATAGTTGCTTGTAGCATTTCAAGAAAACATAAGGAACTTATTCAGTGATGTGCCTAAATGTAGGTGATGAGGACATTGAGGTTTCTCCTCACCTTACATTAGCCCAAGCTACAGTTGCTTTGGAGGGACATAGAAGACCTAATAGACCCATCAAAAAGCCTACAAAAGTTTTTGAAACAAAATAAAATTGCAAAGGAATGCTTAAGGATAAAGATAAGCTGGAAAGACTCCGCAGGAAGCTTGAAGACAAAAATCTGCTTCAATTTATTGACAAGAAAATTGAAGTTTTGGAGTGTCCAGAGAAATTGATACTGCCACTGAGAAACCTTTTAAGAAAATTCAAGAAGGTACTGGCTAAGAGATCTGATCATCTAGGGTTGTGTCCACTATATGAAGCAGATGTACACCTGGACACAGAAAAGTCTATTTTTACTAGACAATATCCCCTCCAGCATGGAATGTGGCCCAAAGTTAATGAATTTGTTGAAGATCTACTTGAGCACAAAATATTGCAACCCTCAAAATCTCCATACAACAGCCCCACTCTTATGGTTAAGAAAAAAGACGGGGGTTGTCAAATGGTGGTTGATTTTTGGCATTCAAATGACCATGTAATTACTGACACGCACCCTCTTCCTTGTATTGACCAAATCTTTGAAGAGCTGGGAAATGCAAGGTTTTTTACAGCTCTTGATCTTCTTCATGGATTTCATAGCATAACAGCATTCTCAATGCCTATGCGGCATTAAAAATTTATTTGTTTACCCATGGGCCTTAAGAACAGCCATTCTATCTTTCAAGGATTAATGCACTTGCTGGATGGTTGTTTGGGAATTTCTGTGTACATTTATGTCAACCATATTGTTAAATATTCATGCAGTGCCAACAAACATTTTTTGCATTCATTGGATATCTTGCAGCGTCTTGATGTGGCAGGCTTAAAAGTAGAAGTCTCAAAGTGCCAACTGTTCTGCACTGAAATAGAATACCTGGGATTTTTAATTAGCTAAACAGGAATTAGAGTAAACCCTACAAAAAAGCTATTCAAAATTTCCCAACCCCTCTCAATGTAAGAAGGGTACAAGCATTTTTGGGTTTGTATATTCAGAATATTGCTTGAAGGCCAAACCATTGTATTTACTTTTGAAGAAAGGTACAGTTTTCCATTGGGGAAAACCTGAACAAGATGCGGTAGACTGCCTGAAGAAATGCCTTCTCTTTGCACCTGTCCTTTCCTTTTCTGATTTCAACCATGAATTCATTTTTAAGGACTGATGCTTCTGCCATTGCTGTTGTTCCAGTATTAATTGAAAACCCCAAAAAACAAGAAGTGCTACTTGGTTGTGCAAGCTGAACTCTAAATGATGCAGAATCAAGGTACCCTAATACTGACTGAGAATTATTGGTGGTCTATTATGGTGTCTCCCAATTTTGCTCATATCTATGGGGCCATACATTTGTGATTCAAACAGATCATATTGCAATGCCCTATTTGATTCATCAGAGACAAAGCAACAGCCAACGGGCCATTTCTTGGTTTATGAAGCTCAACAAATACAAATACTGCATAGAGTATAAAAAGGGGTTATCAATCCCCCACTCAGACGTACTGAGCCATTTTTCTCCCAACAGCAAAAGCACAAAACTCTGCATATATTTGTCTCCTACTTTTATGGGAACTAATCTGATTCGGTATGTTTCCAGGAGCCTCCTACAGAGGGCTGCAGCACTCCTGGAAGGAAAAATTCTTTTTGGGGCAGAGTTAAATTTAGAGGATGGCTTGTTAATGAAAAAGATGAGTCAAGGACAGCGTGTCTGGGTTCCCCCTCCTTAAGAGAAAAGATAATTTGAAGTTTTCATGATCTGCCATCCATGGGCCATTGAGGTATTGGCAAAATGGTTTCATTGCTACCAAAAATGAGTTTACATCTCATACCTTTTTTAATTTGCTAGATTTTTCAACAAAAAACATTCGAATTCAGAAATATACCTTTGCCTCTAATCCCTTTGAAAATTTGAAGTTTGGTGAAGAAATAAATTTTGGGTGTCATGCACACTGATGTTTAACAAGTTTACTGTTTTTTTTTTCATTGAAAAATGTTGCAAATTGAAACAACTAAAATTCAAAAAGTAAAAACATTTTTTGATGATATTTGTAAAATTTTCAAAATTTGTATGCATTTCTGGTTGTAATCCTGTCAAATTTTTAGAACTTGGCATTTAAAAATATGAAATGTAGTAAACATCTTTGCGCATGCAATGCTGTAAAAAATTTGAAAACTGGTTGAAATTTAATTTTTAGGAATTTTTTAAAATAAAAAAATGGACTGCGGTTTGTAAACCAGTTCACAGTGTGTTAACTGGACCACCCCCCCCCCAAATGGACCCAATTTGTTATCCAAAAATGCGTTAACCAGTTGGTTTGTTAACCTGGGTTTAACTGTAGTATGGTTTCTTAGTTATGGTGTGCATCTAATATACATATATTATACATTTAACTACATGTGTGAAGTTTATGCTTGTGAGAATGCTGTGGCTGAAAAAGAAATGTTGCTGAGGCTGAAAGGGAATGTGTTGTGGCTGTGGAGACACAAAAACAAAGAGGAAGTAAAAACCAATATGTTGGAAGGACAATAGGCAATATTTTTATTAATGTCCTCTTACCAACAACTCTCTTGTCTCTATTGCGCAAAAAAACATGCACTAAATATTCCCAATAGTATGAAAACTGTCTAGGCTGACAGTTTCAACACTGGTGGGAAGTGTGCCATCAGTCTGAGGCCTAGAATGCAGCCTCCTCTGCATCCAGACACCCAGCAGTTGCCACACAAGTCAAACAATGATCTCCTCCACAGATAACTCTTTGCTGAGGGTCTGAAAAACAAAGAAAAAGGTTCAGGCAATGTGAGGCTTCATGCAAGCAACATGGGACTTACAGAAAGACAACAACAAAGGTCTGTTAGTGGCAAGTGATGGCATATTGGTCATCTCCAAACTCTCCTCAAAGGAAGGGTTGGGAAAGGACCTCTTTTCTGTTTCAGTACTTTTACTCAACAAACTTTTGTGTCTCTTTAAAAGTTAAGTGAAAAAGCCAAGGCAGGAAGCAAACAGCAAAAATCAGAATTGCTAAAGCCTCCATTAGCAACCATAACCACTAATCCACACACCTTGATTTTAAACCTGCGAGAGAAAACAATTAGTCCAACTGCTATGGGAGACCCGATACCAAAGAGGCTGCCAACCCATTTCAGGACCTTGATGGCCCAAGCAGGAACCCTAGCATGAACTATAGTTCCATCCCTGAATGATGCAGAAATGTCTAATCGAGAAATGTTGTCAAGATTGCTCATGATCCCTGCAAAATCTCCCTTAATGGTTTCAGACAGTGCAGTACTGGGTGGCACTTCATCTGGTTCTACAGGAACCCGCACACCCAGGGGATCAACAAACTGGTGGTGACCACTAGTGTCAACACTAATGGAAGCACTAGTGGACACAGGGGCCTCCGGGATCACTGATGACACTTTTTTATTGGAACTTGGTGTGGTTGCCAAAGACGCCATAGACACTGCTGCAATTGGTGGATTCATCGTTGTTGCTGGCAAAGCCATTGCTGTCATCTCCGTTGCTGTTTTCATTGTTTCTGCCTCCAATGTTGGAACCGTAGTTGACATCACTGTCAACACTGACCCTTTTGGTGTGGTCACTGATGTGGGCCCCGACACACTGATCTTTGCAACAACCTCATCTTCTTGCAGTGCAGTCTCCTCTTGTGGCAAAGTCTGGATTGCTTTGTTGATGTGCTCATCTGTTAAAAACAAGATGACTGAATAACATAGTCAGGAAAAAATATCTGATCAAAAAGTACTCACTTTCATAATTGAAGAAGCACATATTCCAAGGCTGCACTATAGAGTCCATGCCACCCGTCTTCCCCCTGCAGAATGTTCTTTGGAACAACCTAACAGTCTGAAAAATTGAGAATGAGATTCAACACTGTCTATAATTTCAGAAAAAAAAGCAAGAAGAAGAAACCAACCTTCAAGCCTTTGTAGCGGACACAATCCAAATCCAACCTGGTTCCAATGAAGTCTACTGAGAAGTTATAGTTCCCTGGCCTCTTCACATCACAAATGTCATCACAAGCCAACTTTCCGCCGACATTAGAGCACAGAGAGCCATCAGAGGCAGCAAGGAATCCCTGAAAAAGTTGCAATTGTTTTTAAACTGTTTTCACCGAGGTTTGTTGTTTGAACTTACCAGCAAAATCATAGATGTCACTCCAAAGATGATAGCCATTTTTTGTGTTCTTGGTTTGTTTCTTGGCCTCAGTTACTATGCCTTGTCTTTCCAAGGGTTCCCAATTGTTTTCCTTCAATTCCTGCGCCTCAATCCCCGATTTTCACTGTGTGTGTCAGACTTTTTACGTTGATGTTTTTCGGGCACTGTCGATCTTTATCGCTCCGTCGATTGGCGTCGAAATTTGCTGTCAGCGCACTCCTTTGGCTAGAAACTGATTAAGACACATAAAAGGCAAGGTCAGATCAGATTTCACAATAGAAACTCAAAGATGAAAACCTTCACTAAGACTCACTGGAGGTGTGTTCTCTTCCAGAAATGAGCCCAAAATAAGCTTCAATTCCATTTGAAATAACTCAGGAAGGAAGAAACAAGTACAGTCAAACCTCCTTAAACTGCCAATGTTTGTGCAGGACAAATTTGGCAGTTTAAAGGGGTGGTGGTTTATTGGGGTAGCACAAAGTGGCAACCCCAATTATTTTGCCAAGCAAAAACCCAAACCAAAGCCCAGCAGTAAAAAGGGTTTGACCCACTGGTCATAAAGGAAAAAAGTTCACCCCTTGATATGGCAAACAGTTCAATCTGAGTGTAAGAAACTCGCAAATTTTGTAAACAAAAATTTAAAGAAATGATAATATGGGTGCAATTCTTGGACACTAATTATTTGAGATCTGTGGGAATTTTATGCTACTGAACAAATTGTATAATGTTTCAATGGGTGTCTTCTGTGCACTGTATCCATAAAATTATCTGGAAAATATACAGGGTGCAACCATGTCTTATTATTATTTTTAATTACTGTACTCATTTTTGAAGCACTCATTCCATTCATCAGCTGTCACAAGCCAAAAATGGAAGAGCTGCTGTATGTCTGATCCAGTCATACTGAAGACTAGGATGGTCTTTTTGTGTAGGGGTGGGGGGGGGGGTTGAAATTGTAAATTTTCCTCTAAATAGCATACTACCATAATATGCACAGTTTCACATATTTTGCATCTCATCAAGAAAAAATACTATACATCTGAACTGCACAGGACTGCAGGAGTGAAGAGACATTTTTATGAAGTCTGTATACAAATGATGAGTGAAGAAAAAAAATAAACATATATTACACATCAATGTAAAATCCATCATAAAATTGCATTGATAAGCAGCAGGCTTTTCAATTGAAAGTGTGGTTGATTTCATCATAAAGCCTAATTCCAAATTATTTTCTTTTTTTCCAGAGCAACCTTTTTTATGAAGACCAGTAAAGTTATGTGAATTGAGGAAGTTAGACATTTTAGGGACAACATTTCTCTGAGGAGGGGCACTTCTATTTTATTCAGCAGCTGGGTATGAAAACAATGCAGGGTATGAGGACCAGACAAAATATTCTCTTGTCTAGTTGTGTTGTGAATACTGTAGAATAGTTTTTTGGGTGGTTGGTCAAACTGGTGGTCAGTTGGACTGTCTTTGAATGATGATTTTGTTGGGAGAAACAAGAAACCATTGGTGGTTTATAAAGGGGAAAATGATGGGCTCTGGGCAATTTGTGACAAGAAGTACCTTGGTGGATGGCGGATGGCTGTCTATCAAGGTTTCCTCATCCATATAGTTTTAGGCTGATTTGTTTCAGATGAAATTTTGGCATTAAGTGAGGGTGGTGGTTTAGCAGGGGGGGGGGGCAGTTGCACAGGGTTTAATTGCAAAACTATTGATACCTGTTTTCTACCAGAGTGTGACTTTTTGCCACATTCCAGTTCTCATTGAACTGCATGAAATCTGCAGCATCTGAGAGTCTCTACATGGGTGGCACACAAAATGTGTGTCTGTCAAAAGCTCACCCAGAGACTTCAAGATTTTCATGCTGCTGTCAAGTGTGTCATATGGGAGTCAATGCCCAGGCATTTTGACACCATTTTTCATCAATTTTTGCCCATGAGTTCACTTGTGGAATTCACTTTTTGAGATTACTTCATAATGGCTCTTGGAAAAGGGGGAACTTTTCTTCAATTTGTCTGGGGTGAGTATGTCACCAAATATTATTATGTGTCCCACAATATACAAAGAATACCTGCCTATTGTGTCTATCATTCTGGAATGATCTGCCTAGTAACGTGTTGCTCCAAAGCAGACAAGGTCATTGTGTGCACAAAACACAGTCTGGCTTGTGGTCATTTCCCTTGGGCCCTTCCTAGCATCCCTGTTTTGGTTGTGCAGTTGCATTTTGTTTTACTCAAATCTATAAAGGTACTGCGCTGTTTATGTATAGGTATTCATTGTTGGTCTGGTGCTGGTTGATGCAGTAGAGAAATACACGTTAATACTCTGAAACAAGAAGTTGTATTAATTTTTAACCCCAGCCATAAGAACTAAATCTTCTCATCTTAAAGTTATTCTTGAGAGTTTACATTCTTTAGTTTAATTGCTCTCTGGGAAGAGACATTTTCCCAGATACAAAAGTGTCTTTAGAAATTTATCTTGCAATTTAGGATAGCAGTATATATATTGCCTTTGCAGTAGCCTAATTTGTTTCAAGATATATCCATAATTGTCTTGCTTCCTTATCAAGTCCATTGACCATGCCTTCTCCCTTGTTAGCAAAAGTCACTGCTGTCATATTACCAACTTGGAAGATGATGAAGGCATTTCTGAATTTCATGCCTTTGTCCTGGATTTTGAAAGTTTTGAAAGCAAGTTGTCAGACTCTTAGCTCTAGGAGGTCAATTGTATCTTTGTTATTAAGTCTTCATGTCCCTGATGTTTTTTGTTTTCCAAGGATTGCTCCCCATCCTCCCTTGGCGGATGTATTGGTTGCATTTTGTGCGTGATCTTGGGTGGTACAAAGGATTTTTGGTAGGGGTGCTTCAAGTTCTGCCACCATTGTTTATCCTCTATAAGTTGTTGTGGTAGGGTGATGGTTTGTTCCCAGTTAAGTATAGGCTGCTCCAAATTTGCTTTTACTTTCTCAAAACACCAAAACTGCGCTTCTCCATATTGTATTGCTGGGTTAAACTAAGCAAAAAACCTAGCATCTGAGCATATTTCCTCAGTATAATGCTTTTTTGCTGTATGCACATCTTGTGGAGTATCTTGATATCTTTTAGCAGTCTATTGTATGTCCTCTCTGCTGGTAGCTCAAAAATTTGTAAGTTGCTGTCAAAGATAAATGCAAGATGTTTCCTTCAAGTGTTTGGGATATGATGTGATTTGTCTTGAATTATTAAAAACCCCTTATCTGGTAGGAGTTGTTGGCAAAAATGTGTTTGTTCTTGGCATTCTTGAAAGTTGGATGCAAGAATGATTGCAATGTCTATATATGCATGTACCTGAATTCCCTGCTGGCATACAATTTTAAGCAAGGCTTTCATGATTATTGTAAATTATCAGGGTGCCTCTGGTTGTCCCATTGGTAGTACTGTGAAGATGTATATGTCTTCTCCATTTAAAAGCAAAATATTTTTGATGATCTGGATGGAGCGCCATGTTGTGATACCCTTTTGTGAGCTCTATTGATGTCATAAAATCTTTTTCTGCATTCCTTGAAGTACAGATGTCAAACTCTCCATTTCATAAGTGTTTGTATGGAACACATTCCTTGTTCACTTCTTTGCTGTTGAGGATAAGTCAATAGGATCTGTTGTGGTTTCATACCACAAATACTGCATTCAACACAAGATCCTCTTGTGACTTGTGTTTTCTTATCACTTTGAAGGAGATCCCTGACCAGGGTATACATTGCAATGATATCCTCTTTTAATTGTATTAGAGGATTCCTTTGAGATAGAAGGCAAGGCAGAATGTGAGGAAATCAATCTTTACACCATGTATCATTTGCAGTATCAAAGGATCTTTTGGGACATTTTTGAGCTAGAAATCTATATGATAGCAGAGCCTTCCTCCCACTATATTTTTGGGAATTTGACTGACCTTTAATTCCTTTTTGCACACCAATTTGGTCTGCCCCTGTAATTGTTCTGGGGCTGTTTGTCATTTTGGTGATGAAATTTGTTGGGTTGGCCCTCCCTCAAAAAACGCTGGAAACAAAGTTGTGGTATGGCCAGGGTCTGAAGGGTTGTCATCATATCTTTAGTGTGTCCAAAAACAGGTTAAGAATACCCTGCTTTAGACATGACTTTTGTATTCTTGTGTCCACATTTCAATCTTTGCTGTTGAGGATAAGTCAATAGGATCTGTTGTGGTTTCATACCACAAATACTGCATTCAACACAAGATCCTCTTGTGACTTGTGTTTTCTTATCACTTTGAAGGAGATCCCTGACCAGGGTATCCATTGCAATGATATCCTCTTTTATTTGTATTAGAGGATTACTTTGAGATAGGAGGCAAGGCAGTAATGTGAGGAAATCAATCTTTACACCACGTATCATTTGCAGTATCAAAGGATCTTTTGGGACATTTTTGAGCTAGAAATCTATATGACAGCAGAGCCTTCCTCCCACTATATTTGTGGGAATTTTACTGACCTTTAATTCCTTTTTGCACACCAATTTGGTCTGCCCCTGTAATTGTTCTGGGGCTGTTTGTCATTTTGGTGATGAAATTTGTTGGGTTGGCCCTCCCTCAAAAAACGCTGGAAACAAAGTTGTGGTATGGCCAGGGTCTGAAGGGTTGTCATCATATCTTTAGTGTGTCCAAAAACAGGTTAAGAATACCCTGCTTTAGACATGACTTTTGTATTCTTGTGTCCACATTTCAATGCACCAGAACTGGCATACAGGAATGATGCTACATTGTCTGGGGACTGGTCATTCACATGTCCTGGTTTACTTTCTGTTCATTTATGTTCATGTGCAGCCAGTCACCTGTCTCACACATCCAGAATCTATGAAGGAGTGTCTGAACACTCCTTTGATGCTCATTGCTGGTTTAGACTGTATTGCAAGTAGACAAAATATACGTATCACTTATCAGAGAAGTAGTCTTACTTGTTTTCACCCCAGCTGTGGTGAAATTGAGGGATGAAAAGTAAGAGTTTATAGAAAAGAAATAAAACGAGGACACACGATCAGCCGGGTTGCGGCCGGGGTTTTTACACCCAGATTTCAACTTCTTTATATTCGTTCAAGGGCAGTTCTTTCTTTACAAAATGTACAACTTTTGATTTCTTCTTCAACTTTTGGAATTCTAGGTTGGCGAAGTTTGTTCTCGAGTTCCGCGTCAAGAAGGGGTTGGATGAGTAGTAGTTGTCGTCGTAGAATTCTTGGTCCTTTTAAAGTTTCAAGCTTCCGGAAAACAAGGGGAACCAAGGGTTCTGATTCTCGAGGGAGGTGTCCTGTTAGGGGGTC